CGGCGCCTGCCCCTCGGGCCTCCGGCGGCAGGTGAGGTGGGGCGCCGGGGCGCTGGGGTGTCGGGGCGAGCGTCCGCCTGCTTCCCGGGAAGCGGCGCTCCTGCGACCGAAGAGCCCTTTGCAGAAGCACTGTCGTTAGTCCGTCTGGTCGGGCCTTTTGCAAGCGGTGCCAGTCGCCTTTTGGAAGTTTCGCTTTCGTTTCTTCGAAGGAACTGGGAGGCTCTGCTTTCGCACCGGGGTGAGAGGCCCGGCCGAGTCTGGAGTCTTCACGGAATCTCGGGGGACGTGGGAGTGAGGACGCGGTGCTGGTTTGTAGTGTGACCGCAAGGGGTCGCCACAGCTCGCAGGGCCTTTCCTGGCCTCGGTGGTAGATGAATGGAGGGAGGAGACCTGGGGTGGGGTGGGGTGGGGTCCCCAGATGGGGGCACGAGGCAGCCGGCTGCCCTCCCTGTTCAGCTCCTCTCGCCCGCCGCCCCGGAGCCGGCTGGGACGCACTAGAGGTGTCCCGGTCGCAGGGCCTTTGCACTGCCTGATGCTATTACCCGGAGCCCACCCGCCGAGGGCAGTGCCTGACCCCTGCCCAGTCGTCGCCAGCCAGTGGGGCTGTTCTGAGCACCCACGGAAAACCGTGACCTGCCCCTTCCCCAGATTCCCAGGCGCCTTTCACCCGGATTTGCCCTCCATGCGCCCGGTCATCCCTGTGTGGCTTCCTGGGAGGAGCCTTTCTTGGGCCCAGCGGGTGTGAGGAGGCTGCTGCTGTCCATTGATTTTTGTCTCATTGACTTCCTCTGTGCATGGGCGTGGGCGTGTGTGTGTGTGTGTCTCCCCAGTGATCCAATCCAGGGGCGATTTATCACTGAGCTACACCCCCACTCCTGATCTTTTTAACTTTTGGGACAGGGCACCCAAAGTTGCCCAGATGGGGCTCAGACTTGGTGATCCTCCTGCCTCAGCCTCCCTATAATCTCCTTTTCTTCCTGACCCTTTGGGGATGGGCTCTGCCTTTTCTTTGAGTCCGTGGGATTGGCTGGGTCACAGCAGCTTGGTGCCCTTGGTGACCGGCAGAGTGGCTGCTCTGGTGACAGACTCCTTGCTCTTGAGGTTGATGGAGCCTCTGGTGTCCAGGTCCTGTGGGAACCCCCAACACACCTGCTGGGGCTGTGCCACCTGGGTCCTGGGAAGAATATCTGCCCATGTGGGGCTGAGGAGAAGGTTTGCAGCTCCAGAGATGAGGAAACACCAGTGTGCTCCCCTGTGATTTGCCTGGTGCTGTGCTGAGGGTGCAGCTGGACTAAATCCCAGGTGCTGGGAGCAAAGCACAGAGAGGCTAAGTAACTCAGCCACAGTCACACAGCTAGCGCCTGGCAGAGCAGGATTTGAAACCGTTGGAGTCCGTGTCTTGGGAGGAACCTTGGGTGAGGTCCTGCTGGCCTCGATGTGAAGGGAGAAAACTGGGTGCTGGTGTGGCCTCCTGGGTTGATCAGGCACAGCCCTGCTTTCACAGACCTTGAGGGTGGGGGCACGAGGTGATTACTGATAGGGGGCAAAGCAGGGGGATCGGGCTCCTGACTGTGACCAGAAGGGGTGGCTTTTTTAAGTCTCAGGCTCCTGTGGGGAGATGGGTGGCCCCACAGCCATCCCCCCGGTGGGGTCTCCCTGAAAGGACCCTGCCTCCTCTGCCTCCTTCGTTCGGGGCGAGGTCTTGGGCAGGGCTGTGAGGGCCATTAAAGCGTGTGCCAACAGAACCGGGAAAAAATGAAGGTCTGTCTGAGAGCGTGGGCGTGGGGCATTCCTCCCAAAGATGCCGTTAAGTCTTCTCATACCTGAACTCTGCCAGGGGGCCGCCCGGCAGGCAGGTGGCAGGTGGGGGAGGTGGCAGGTGCCCTCTGTGCCCTGAGTATGGGCTCCGCCGCCTCCTCACACGGCTGGGACTCTGTGTACAGGAATAGAAACTGAAACAGGGCACTGTGCAGCACCGCAGGCTTGCCGCGTCTGGGGCCCCTCTCCTCCTCCAAAGAGAAGGAAAAGGAAACTGAAATCAGGATGGGACTTGGCCAAGCTACCTAAAGGGCAAGGCACCTCTCTCCCGCCTCTCCTTCTGTTCAGCCACTCAGTTCCTCCAGCGGCCAGCAGGCATGGGGGTCAGGGATGGGGATGCAGCCCCCAGAGAGCCCCGTGGGACTTGTCCCTCCATCCCTGGAAGGCTGTTTGGAGGGGTGACACCCTGGGCGCTGCGTCATGCTCCCATTTCCTGCGTTTTCCAAGAAGGATCAGATGAGCATCCTCAGCCCACCGGGGCTGGGAGCCTGAGAGGGTGATGGTGGGCCCCTCCTGGGGGTCAGCCCAGGCC